CCTCCTCCATCTCATTCCGATCTCAAGGCACGCGTGTCCCTCTTGCCCTCTCGCTAAGTGGATATTCTTCTTCGTTCTTTTTTTCCCTCACGTCTGCACAGCCTGCCGCCCCCCCCCCACCCTTCTCCCTTTCCCGCGGTCGTCCTGGTGTTTTTTTTTTCTTTCCGTCATCCCCGCTTCTCGTCGCCCACACTACTCAATTTATTTTCTCGATATCGCGACCGAATATCGAGGCCCTGTCCAGCCTCGAGCGAAAATCAACTTGGCTCATCAAGGCAGCATCAGCGGATTCAACGGGGTCGCGAAAAAAAGTCGCGAATTAATTTTAGCCCCCACGGTATCGACGATTCGTCGAAACCTTCAAGTTGAATTACGCTTGATAATTTTTGAGTCAATGCGAAAGATATTTCGTTTGCAAGTATAATTCTATGCTAAACACCGTGGTATTAAGCGCAATAATTAAAATCGCGGATTCACTTCGGGCTGGAAGCGACCCGCGGAAGTTAAAAGATGTCTCGCCGAACGAGCGATGCAAATGACGAGGATTTACGTATTGCGAATATTTAACGAGATATTCTTTGTTTCATAAATCACGAAAAGCTTGGGCGAAAAAAATATTTCATCGATAATCACACCAATATATTCTTCTTTCTCGCGACGCGCTCGATATAAAAAAAGGGAAGCCGACAAATAATATTTCCTACCGGCATTCCTACACGCATGTGTTAAAGCTTTCGTTAATTATCATTAATAGATCAGCGGAATCGACCATCTGCATTTGAAATTGGTAGCGGCATATCCATAATCCACGCGCGTATGCGAGCCGAAAAGTGATTGTCGATATCAGCGTGAGAATTCCCGGCTTACGTGCATAATTAAGCACAAATATCGTCGCATAATTGATCGTGTACGTTACATTATGCAACATTATGCGGAGCACGATAACGGTGTAATTCAATGTATCCTGATTACGGCACCCCCCTCCTCTAACCCAGTTTCGAGATTCTGATTGCGGGCCTGATTATATTTCGCGATGTCCACACGCGCGCAGCCGCTTTTTGACAATTGAACTGAACTAGTTATGATCGCAATCGATGCATATGTTTCAATAATAAAATACGCAGCGGCTGTCTGACAAAGGAGTAAACGTCGGGAGATACGTATCAGTTTACGTGAAGCTGTCAGTAAATGCTACAAGCGTAAAAGCGGCATTCATTTGTTTGTTCCAGAAACGTCATTTTATTATTAATGATACAAATTCCAGATTTTACGTTTGAATGTGTGATTATCGGAATTTTTTATGCACTCTCATTAAAATAAATTATATTAGTAGCAGCCTCGATATCGTTTCATCGGAGGGCCTGTGAAAAGTTACGCGGTATATTTGTCGATATTAAAGCTGTATTATTACGATGCAACTAAGAGAGCCCATTACACAACTCGATACCGACAGCGGGCCGAGCTACGAACGGGACGGGACCATTGTATTCTTGCCGTCAAGCAAAATAATTAACGTCACGGTAGAATCTAACAATCTGAATACGTCTAAACACAATGCGAACCAGCGCGAGCGCTAAACTATGCATTTACCAGATTTCATAGTTACATTCCATAGGCTTCATGTTGTATCATCCAATTGCAAATTAGCATTAGATTACATTCTTTCCTCACATTTCGGCAATCTCGCTGAAATGCATCAGCGCGCGGCTATGAGAAACATACCAGATACCCAGCTTTTACCACGCTGCTTCTATGGAATACACATCGATCCGTTCTATTGTACATATTTCGGAAAAACCTCGCAGCGAATCGCACAACAAGCGCGCCATTCATCCCGGCAGGCTTGCCGACAAACAAGCGCAAACGCATGCGGAATACCGTATCTGAAACGGCTCGAAGCGGCACCGTCTTCGCAGCGACACGAAAGCGGTCTCCTCTTCCCCGCGGCTCGAAAGCCCCGTCGGCAGGCTCTCCTCTCTCGCCGGCGACGAAATAAGATACTTCGTGAAAGTAATTTCGCCGAGAAAAGTAAGTTTTCGCCGAGTAATAGCTCCTGCGCCGTTTCCCACCGACAGCGACGGCACTCCACGCGGCACGAGCACGCGAAGCGGCGGGGGGAGAAAAGGGTCGGAGAGGGCCCATCTCATGAAGG